AGAGACGCAGAGTCAAGGGCTGGGGCACAGCTTTTGGAAGGAGGGGCTTGGCGTTCACCGCTGTGGTTGGGGAACGGATTTGGAGGAACGGGTTAAAGGTGAAATGCCTGTGGCCTCCCAGTGGTGATAGGAGTGGAGGCTACTGGATAGGGGAAGTTGGGGTTCAAGGACAGGTCCTGGGAGTGGACATCTGGGAGCCCTCGGCATGCGGGTGGGACTGAATCACTAAGGGAATGAAGGAGGGCAGAGAAGAGAAAAGCCCCAACAACGGAGTCTGTCCATAGAGTTCTGGAGAAGAGGAGGGAGCCACAGACGGGACTGGGCAGGCCCAGTCACAGGGTTAGGAGGAAAGGCTAGAGGAAGAGTGGCATCCTGAAAGCCAAGGTCAGCTGAGAGCAAGCGCGATGCCAGGGAGAGTATGTGCGGCCATCGGAGATGGACCAGCCTGCTCCCGGCCCTTCCCCTGCCCACTTTCACTGGGAGCTGTTGCTGGAGCCTGGAGACCGGTCTGACGCAGACCAGAGCCCTGCTCTTACGGAGGGACAGACTGACAATTCCTCTGTGGTGTGAGGAGAGGGGAGCAGCCCTTGTTCTGGAGATGGGGGTGCACCGAACAGGGGCCTGCGGTGAGGGCCTGGAGGAGCTGGTGGAGATTTCTCAGGAGAGGAGGGTCAGGGAGGCAGAACCTCATGTAGGCCGCAGGGTGGTGATCTCAGTGGCTTCCTGGGCAGGGAGACACCAGGTGGGCTCTAGATGGCCCAGGAGAAGGTGGGATGGGGGAGGAAGTTGCTAGCCGTCTGCAGAGAGTCACGGAAGTTGGGGCTATAACGAGGCCCCAGGGGATGGCGAGTGGCCCACGTGGGCTGAGGGCTCTGGCCTTTGGGGCTGCTTGGGGACAAGGTGCAGAAGAGGGGCAGAGAGGCAGTGGGGACCCTTGACCTGAAGGAGCTCACGGTTAGTTAGAAGGTGAGCCAAGCCCCACAGTGCAGGCAGGGCAGGAGTGGTAGGCACATGATTTGGGAGCTCCCTCAGCAAGAGGGGGTTATATGGGTGGAATCAGGGAAGGCTGCCAGGGGGAGGCAGACCTTTGAGAACATGGGGGCTTTGAGTATGCCCCGACGCACAGAACAGCGTTCTTGGCAGAGGAGAGTGCACATGCCAAGGTACGGAGGCAGGAGGGTGCGGCACGGCACGTGTCCGGGAAGCACAGCTCGATGGGAGATGAGATTGGCCGGGTCCTTTAGCATCAGACCCAGGAGCTTCACCCCTTCCTCCCCTTTTGCACAGGTACTCGAAAGCCATTGCAGCTTCTGAGCTGAGGAGGGACACGATTGGATCTGGTTTCAGGAAGACAGGTCAGGTAACAGTGTGCAGGGTGAATTTGAGGGGAAGGGCAGGGGTCCAGGAGGTAAGAACACCTTTTGAGAGGCTAGGTGCACACCCAGATTAGGGGCGTTAATGGCCTCAGCAGCAGCACAGGTGGGACCCATGTGACACTTTTAAGTAGGGCCAAAGGTTTTGCAAGCTGCAGTCATGCCACACTGGCCTGGGAGGGGCCAGAGATGCAGAGATGCAAGAGCACTCCAAGGCCTGGGTGACCCCAGAAGACTGTGGAGGGGCTGCCCAGGGCCAGTTGGGGGCAAGGAAGGCCACGCAGTTGGGTTAAGCTCACGGGTACCCAGCGCTGCACCGGCTCCTTTCCGTCCATCGCCCCATTTAGGCCTCCCTGCGGCCTTATGAAGTAGGTCCCACCGTCATGCCCATTTTGAAGACGAGGATCATGAGACTCAGAAAGGTACAGTGACTTACCTTGGCACACAGCTAGTATGTGATGGAACCAGAATTTGAACCCACGTCTCCTTGAAAGGGCCAATGTTTCAAGATAAGCTACAGGACCTCAGGAATAAGAACAGTGAACTGATTGATCAAGCACTTCTTCTGTGCCAGGCGCAAACAGGTGTCTTTGTCAGAAAGGCCAGGCACACATGTGATGCATTTATCCCAGCTCAGAAACCTGCAGTGGCTCCCCAGTACCTAACCCAGTGGTCTTCCCTCACTTAACAGAAGAGAACTTTGACACTGGGAGTAGATGTGTCGCTGGCCCAAGCTGGGGTTTGAACTGAGGGCTGTGTTCTTTTAACTCACCTCACGGCCTCCTGCCTGGCAGGCAGGGGTGGGGGCGGTGCTTTGTGAACAGCAAGGGTTCAGAGCTGGAGGTGGGAGAGTGAGCCAACCTGGAGCCTGCCTCAGGGCCAAGCCCAGTGGAGCTTCCAAGCCGGGCTGCCTGACTTTTTGTCCCCCTTTGGCTCTGTGCGTAGAAATCCTGTGCCTGTTCACTGAATAGGTGTGTGTGTTTCCCCCCATCTTCCCCCCCCGGGGAGCCGCCCCAGGCCAGCTGCAGGTACAGATAGAGTTGAATTCGGGATTGGACCTCCTCTCTTGCCCAGCCTGGCCGCTGGGTAACCTCTGGCCTAGAATGAAAGGCTTTCCAGTAAGTGCCTAACTGGCCTGCAGCCTGGCTGCACAATAGGTGTGGGCCGGGGTGAGAGATATCCGAGGGAAGATGCAGGAACCTGAGAGCAGGGTGGAGCCTTGCCAATAAATCCCTCAGTGAGCTGCCTTCTCAGCTGGTGCCTCTGGAGCACTTGGGCAGGAGAACCGGTCACCAGGAGCCCCGGCTGCCTTCCTGGCCCAGCCTAGGCCCTTGGGCCTCCGGGCTCAGGCTCAGCCCAGGGAAGGAGGGCCCGTGGGGTGAAAACACCAGGCAGCCCAGGGCAGGATTCGGAAATCAGATACTCTGGGCCGCGTCTCCCTTGGCCTTGAGCTTCTCTTCAAGCCTTCACGGGTCACAGCGGCCTCCTGCCCCCGTTGGGGGGTGGGGCACGGTTAGCAATCAGATCCGACTGTTTTCACAGGGAAACAAGAGAACTTGGGTTCTTCTCCTCCTTTGGTCAATCCTAGGCATGTCCCACCCCTTCTCTGGGGCTCCTCTATGAAATTTAGGGGCAAGGTAGTGGGATTTTAAAAATCCCTTCAGGCCCTTAAAAAATCAGGCGTGAGGCCCTGTGGCATAAGCTTCGGAGCCAAGAGGATGGACACCCGGCAGGCGCTTCTCAGCAACTGTGGCATCTGGGGTAATTCAGTGCTTTCATGCCTCACTACCTCTCTACCTCACGGTAAAGCGTTCCCGCGAGCCGTGTTTGGCCTTTGGCACCCGCAGGGGAAGCAGCCAGCACAAACCAGGAAAGATCAACTTTGTTTGGCTTTGGGTGTTTTCCTACCAATCCTTCAGCGTAGGAGGGGTTGACATTCTGGAAATTCACTTCCACCCCAATACTGAAACCAACCTGGGATGCCTGACTCTGAATCGGGAAGCCCCTGCTTCTGGAAGTGGATTCTGAAACCTCCAGCCTGATCCTTCTCCCAGTTTCTCCTGATCTCCCTCCCATCCTTTTCTAGGCCATGCCCTTTATCAGACCTTGCCCGGCCTGGAGAGGTGGTGGTTTGAGTTTCAGGAGTCTCTGCCTGCAAAGTCAACACAAGCGAGCAGTTAGGGAAGCACTAATTAAGGAGATTAGATGCCAACTCTGAATTCAGGTGTGCCGGCAAAGCCCGTGCTCGTGCTTCAGACTCTAGAGAGGCTCAGCCTGCTGGGGGAAGTGGAGCCTGTGGCTCTCACTGCTTTTTGAGCCTCTGCAAGGACACTGAAGGAACCATCAGTCCTCTTAAGCTAAATGAAGGAAATCGCTCCTACTTGTAGTTTTAAGGAGTTGCTGGGAGGGAGCTACCTCTTCCAGGAAGCCCTCCTGATGGCCCCAGGCACATCTTTCTCCCTCCTTTCCTCCTTCACAGTACTCTGCACTCAGGCTCTGGTTGTGCCACATGGGAAGGCCTTCCTAATCACTCTCCTGTCCAGTCCGTGGTGTGGAAAGCTGTGATATTTTACACCATTATCTCAGCCTTTACTCCCAGGACAAGAGTCTAAGGCCCGGTGGCAGGGTCCTGGTCTCATAGCTCGTGCTACAGTGTACTCACTGTCCTAGAGCGACCACAAAATCTTTGCTTTGTGCATTTGTGTGGTTTCTTTGCCCAAACTTTTTTTTTCAAATGGAAATACATTTCTGGTTATAAAAGTAATCCATGAGCAGAAGAAATCAAAAAGTACCTGTAATCCCAGCACTTGGAGATAACCATTGGTCACATCCTGCCAGACTTAGTTCTGCAAAAGCTCATCCACATTTGGCATACAACAAAGAAATTATACTGTGCTTCTTTCCTTTTTTTTGCAACCTACGTTTTTTAACTTAACAGATCCCATGGATATTTTTCCAGTAAACGCAGGTCTACGTCACCTGCAGGGAGGGCTGCATCATGTCCTATTTTATATTTGAGCCACAATTTATATATCTAATCCCCTATTGTTGGATTTGGAGTTTTTTTCCCAACTTTTCTCAATTGTATATGGTACTTCCCAACTTTTCTCCATTGTATATGGTACATGTATATGTAAATAACCTTCCTGGATAAATATTTGTGAACATCTTTTTTTTTTTTTTTTTGGTCTTAGAATAAAGTGAAGAATGAAATTGAAAAGTCAGAGGACTGGCATGTTTGTTAAGTTAGAGTAAACCCAATACCGATTCGCCCTCTCCCCCGTGTCACAGAAAAGTGGTGGGTGCCTGGCTGGTACTGATGGTTGACTTGCGGGTGGATATGCATGGACCCTGAAGATCTGGGAAGATCTGGGTTCGGCCTGTGAACTCGGTTTCCCAGCCCGCTGCCCACTGCCCAGGAAGCAGCCTAGGGTGGGCGGGAGAAGGGATGCTTGCTCCTGGACTCCCCCCTTTCGAAGACTGGTGGAGTCTTCCTGGATCGTGCTTGGGCCAGCCTTGGCCTTGGAGCTTGCCCAGGCACTTAGAAGAGGAATGGGTGCTTATGTGGCTGAGGATGGAAAGGATGGGAACAAGCCTGGGTCATGCCTTCAATCTCTCTGCCTACAGGAGGTCTCAGTGGGGCAACCATCATTGACTCCCTTGACACCCTCTACCTCATGGAGCTGCAGGAGGAGTTCCAGGAGGCCAAGGCCTGGGTTGAAGAGAACTTCCACCTGAACGTGGTGAGTCAGAGACCCTTGGGGTGTTAGAGCCAAAAGGGGCCTGGAAGGTCAGTGGCCAGCTCCACCCTATCACTTCAGAGACCCAGAGACCCTGGGCCCAAGCTGCCCGGCAGGGCAGTGCTGGAAATGGGGCTCCGTGCACTCTCTACTTTGTCCTCTCCTAAGACCAGCCTCAAGGTGGGGGAATCCCTCCAGCCCTGGCCAGCCCATGAGTATTTACCAGCCTGTTCTCCTCTGGTAGGGAAGACAGCCAACGACCCCTCCTTCCCCTCCCTGCTGTGCCAGGCACCCAGGAAGTCCCTCCTAGGGCTGAATCTGTAGAACAGAACAGCGGCAACCGAAGGGGCTTATCTGCTCAGAGCTGCTCTAACCTGGAGCCCCCACCCCACCCTCTGCTGCCCTCAGGAGATAGGTGAGAGAATGGGAGCCATCTGGATGGCCGAGACAATGACAATGCCTAATTCACAGGCTTGTTGTGAGGTGAACTCCCGCGGAGGGTTATAACAAGCATCATAACACGATCAAGTCCGATCTGCATGTAGGGTGGTATCCTTCTCCTCATCATCATTACCACTATTTTGAGGCATGTTATGCCTTTTGGTAGTCTGTGTGAGGAAGCTTAGAATCCTTCCATTTCCTACCGTACTGAATGGGAGAAAGGCTGAGGTGGGAGAAGGAAGGGGTATCTTCACAGGCCCACCTTGCCTCTGTGCATATGGTGGAGAGAGAACGGCAGCTACCTAGGGGGCCAGGTGCTGGCAGGTCCGGGGAGCCTGGGGACATTCGAGCAAGCTGGGGCAGGTTAGGGAGGGTCCTCCGAAGAAAGCAAGATAGGGTCACACCCCCTCTCTGAGCCTTGGCTTTCTCATCTGGAAAATGGGAATGGTGACCTCGCTGAGCACGGGGAGGCTAAAAGAGGGAACGGCTTTGCGGTTTTCTGTTTCACGAGGCTCGCCCACATGAAGGGATGGTCACTGCGTGTTGTCAGCAGTAAAAGACTGTGATGTGGGGAGCGCTGGGCACAGGGGAGGTCAGAGCGGGCACCTTTAGGAAGCCACACGGGGCGCCGGGCGGGTGTCCCACCTGTACCCCGCCGCAGCACCTCGGAGCCACCCTGCTCCCGGTGAAGAACCTCGGGCAGAGAAAAGCTAAATCTCTTGCCCGACGTCCCAAAGCCAAGTAAGAGGCTGAGGTGGGATTTTAACCTAGAGCTGGTCCTTGGCATGATGCCCCCACACCCCGGATTTGCAGTCCAGACCCAAGAAAGAAAGCACTGATTAAGGCAAGTGTGGACATGCCCTGCAGGCCGCAGACCTGAGGCTGAGAATCGCTGCTTACCTGCAAGTGTCTGCCTGGCACCCTTGCCTCTCAGCCTCGGCTTTGTACCCTTTGCCCCAGAACCTCCTCAGAGAACCTTCCCCTCACCCTGTCTCACCTCCCTCCTGCTAAGCTGGAAAGTTCCCACAGGAAGGGGAGGTGGCTGGACTAGAGAATTTGCCTCCCCTCAGGCTAGGCTTCAGCCCTAGCTCCCCACCAAGTTCTTGAGCTGCCTGGAGAGCAGCCAGGCATAACTTTGCTCCTACGGCCTCGGGCAAGGGCTGGGGAAGGAAGCCAAACCCAGCGTTTATTTGTAATGCTGTCAACGTGCTGTAGTGGCCTGCCAAGCAGGTGCTGATCCCTCTCAACTTTTGCTCTGAAAACCACTGCCCAGCATAGCCCGGCCTGCCAGGCAAGGCCCAGGAGCTCAGCACAAGGGTGGCCAGGCCAATGGGCTTGGGGGGGGGGGGAGGCTGGGGCCGGAGTGACTTGTCTCAAGGGCCTGGCTATCCCTGGGAGCCCTGCAGGCGGCTCACAAGTGTTATCCCCCACCCCGGGTTCCCCCTCCCCCACACCCCTCTTTCATGCGGCCCTGCAGAGTGGAGAAGCATCCTTGTTTGAGGTGAACATCCGGTACATCGGAGGACTTCTCTCAGCCTTCTACCTGACGGGAGAAGAGGTAAGTTGGCCCTTTGAGGTCCCTGGACCCTTCAGGTGTGAGAAGACTTCGGAGAACATCCAATCCCACTCCCTCATTTCACCAGTGAGGAAACAGGGATGCAAGGGGATTTGCCCGGGGCTACCCATGTCCACCCAACCTCCACGGAGCCACCTGCTGACTCTCCTTGCCCTCTGTCTGACCCTTCCTTTCTGCTGCCCAGGTGAGCCCCACGGGCTCCCACGTTGGTAGTAAATTCTCTAAGGAGCACGACTAGTCTCTTCACACTATCCACGCAGCTCCCCACACAGCACCCAGCAGACTCTGGGCTCAGCTCGGGCTTGTAGAGCTGCTGGACTGGTTTTTGCAGGTGTTGGTTTTCAGGAGAGGTGAGGCCAAGACCACTGTTTCACGATTTCCACCGCTAGGGGCCCTTGGCCTTGTCCTGCTCCACAGCCATCCCTGTCTGCTCCCCTCCTGGGCCAGCCACCAGCCAGCCACTGCTCCAGGTCTCCAGCGGCCACAGGAGATGGGACAGCCACTGCTGGTCACATGTCCTAAGTGCAAGGCCTCAGCCCCAGGCATCGGCTTCCAGCAGAAGGGCTGAGAAGGGTGGGGAGAAGGCAGAGCCCTGGACACAGAGTCAGAAAACCTGGGTCTTATCTAACCCACACCACACCTGCCTGTGACCTTGAGCAAGTCCTCTCCCACTCCTGGGCCTCGCTTCCTTCCCCACTGTGGGGATCGGCTCACAGAACTCTTGTGAAATGGGGACAGGAGGGACAAAGTTTGACCCCGAGCTGACCAGCTCCAAAGCCCATACTCTCCGCGCTGCAAGAGAATTTTGAAAACCACAGAGCTCTGTAGAAATGGGAGGCTCTTCATCCCCTCGTCAGCTCCCATGAAAGTGCAGCCCAAGTATCTGGGCATGGGGTTGGCCAAGTCCCCAGGACATGGGTCATCCATCGTTGTGCTCCCCCTTAGCCAGAGGGCCGCACTGCTCAGCGCAACTGCTGCTCTAGGGCCGGATGCCTTGGCTTTGGCCTTTCCCTTCCCTGCACTTCTCCCTGCTCTGTCCACCCTGAGGCAAATATCATCCCTACCCCCTGCCACCAGTGGATGCAGAAAATTCCCTGCTAAGCCCCAGTGCTGTTGTCTGAGGAGGTCATTTCTGCAACCAGGGGTTCGAAGCAACAGGTGCATGCGCTCCCGCCCCAGCCACTTCGGGCCTCTCCCTCAAGCCTCATCTCCTCAGCAGAGATTACCACTTGTACCAATTCGTCCCCAAATAATTGTAGTTGGGAGCCCTTGGCTTTGAGCCACACGAAGCCTGAATTTTATTTGAAAACCCGAGGACAGGAAAGTGCATGGAGCGGAGAAAGGCACCCTGTTCTTCCAGGTACTTGGCCAGCCTGTCTGCTGCTCATGGCTCTGGGAGGTGGCCACAGAATGTGGGGACAGGAGAGGGGGCCATGCAGCTCCGGGCTCACAGGGGTCAATTTGGGGGCCAGTGATTGAGGGAGGAGCTGATGCCCCTCAGTCCTGATGCTCGACCTCTTAGGGTATCTGTGATTCTGAGAACTTATTTGAGGCCTTGGCTCCCTAGTGATATAGTCTGGCTGCGTCTGAGGACCCAGAGGACGGGAGGTCCCCCAGGGGGGTCGTTGGCTTCATGCAGGATAGAAATGGAACATGAGCCAAGAGGAAGTGAGAGCAGAGTTTATTGAAGACAGAGTGCGGGCACAGACAGAGCATCTAGGAGACTCGGAAAGGAAAAGGAGAATGAGTCTCTTTGCTTGGGATCTGGGGTTTTTATTGAAAACTGTGGTCTGACGTCCTTGTCCTCTCAGGCATCCAGGAACTGGTCAGAACAAGGACAGGGGTCCAGGTGCCTCCATAAGTCACTTGTTGCTTGGAGCCAGGGGGTCTTGGCATCAAGATATCTAGTGTCAGTGTCTAGGATATACACAGGGCAGTCTTGCCTGGTCATTCTTGCCTGGGCAGTCCTTAGATGGTACCTATCGTGCTGGAAGACTCCAAAGAAATCATTAACGCCTTGATCCTTACAAGGTGGGCTACATGATTTATACTGAGGCAGGTGTAAGGCAGGGTGCCAGCAAGGATAGAGGCAGGAAAGGGAGCATAAAAAGCAGTCCTTCGTAGGCTCACTTCAGTTCCCCTATGTCACTAGAAGGATCATCGGTCTGAGTCTCTAGGATGCAGACTGGACAGTGGGGTGTGCACAGGAGTGCCTGTGATTTAGAAGTAGTTCACAAAGCCCGGGGAGCCCCGCATGGCTCAGAATCCCTGCGCAGGCCAACTCCTGAGGTTGTGGGCACAACCCTGTCCTCTAGCCACAGGCTGCTGATCCCCCTCTGTCCCCAGCACCTCCACATGGCAGAGACCGTGCCCCATGTGCCCTGTCTCATCGGCCCCCAAACACCCCATGAGGTGGGGGTCTTCGCCTACTTGCAGATGCGGGAACTGAGACTTAGAAGGAACTTGCTCAGGTCGAGGTCCCTGAGGGCTGTGGTGGGTCGGCTCCTGACCCCGTGGCCTTTGTGCCACAGGCCAGGGTTACAGCCCCCATGCAGCTTGGCCCGGCGTCACCGCTTGTCACCAGGGCTTGGCCGCACTGGACTGGGGCCTCCCTTCTCTCTGTGCTCCGTCTCGCACAGAGTGGGTCCCCGTGGCTGGGTCTTCGCATTCTTCAGATTTCCCACGAGTATTTGTGGAATGGTGCCAGAGACCCCAGCCCCCTCCTGGCCTGAGGCCTTTCTTTGCTGCAGGGGGAACCTAAGGGAGGCGAATCCCCTGCTGGGTAGGCCAGCCCTACAAGACGCCCCTGAGAATGGCCAGCGTGATGACAGCCACGCCAGGTGACGTTTGCACAGCTCTTTACGGTTCTTGCAGCACATTCACTTATATACATCCTCTTACTTGAGTTCTAGAAGAACCCCGTGAAGCATCCAGGGCACATGAGCCGCTCCATTGTGCAGACGAGGGTCAGAGACAGTCCGCGGCTCACCTGAGGTCACACAGCTGCCAAGTGGGAAGATCTGAACCTGGGCTCTGCCTCCCAGCTAGTTTGCTAGTTTCTCTCACCTCTGTTCTGGAACCGCTGGGCCCCTGACTGTGGCTTACCATGGCTGCCTGCCTTGCTCTGTGTTGGAAAAGCAGCTGATAGCACTTACAGGCTCCACAACCTTGGGCAGATTGCTTCATCCTCAGAGTGCTCAACACCCTCCCCACCAGGCTGTTGCAGGGATTGAAGGTCGTGTAGATAAGACACCCGGCACAGTGATACATTGTGATTTATAATAAGTAATATATATTTGGTCTTCATCCCATTTCTGGCAGAGCTCCTAAAACCCTTGGAATTTCCTAAGCACTGAGAGCAATAAATGTGTCTTTTGTTATGTAAATTGGGTGACTCTCTTGGACCCCACCTGAGGATAGAGGCTGGTTGCCAGGAGAACCAACCACAAGGTGGGAGGGTTATTTTATTCAGTCCCACCACCCTGACTTCCAGGGATGGGAGAGGGGCTGGAGGTTGAATCAGGAGCCAATTAGCAGTGGTTTAATTAGTTGTGCCCATGTAATGAAGCCTCCATAAGGAACTGGGCCATGGAGCTTCCGGGGTGGCTGAGCACCAGGAGATCTGGGGAAAGCACCACTCCTGGAAAAGGCATGGAAGCTCTGTGCCCTCTCCCCATACTTTGCCCTAAGCATCTCTTCCATCTGGCTGGTTCCTGAACTACATCCTTTTTATAATAAACCAGTTAAGTAAAATGTTTCCTGAGTTCTGTGAATCACTCTAGAAAATTAATCAAACCCACAGAGGGGTTCGTGAGAACCCCTGATTTAGAGACCATGGGTCAGAAGCACAGGTAACAGGCTGGACTTGGGACGGGTGTCTGAAGTGGGGGGAGCAGTGGGGGGGAGCAGTCTTATAAGGACTGAATCCTCAAACTGGAATCTGATGCTGTCTCCAGGAAGATAGTGTCAGAACTGGGTTAAATTATAGGGCACCCAGCTGGTGTCTGGCGAATTGCTTGGTGGTATAGGGAAACACCCCCCACACACACATAGTGGAATTGGGTTCAGAATCTGTTCCACACCTACTCACTTCCAAGAGAGTAAGTAGGACTCGTGTTTTTCTGTTCCCAGTGGTACCCCTCTGGTCCACACACACTCACTCAGCATCCTTCCTGGTGTGGTTGAGACCCTGCAGTGCCCACCAGCGATAGGGCTTTCCAAAGGTGGAGACGTGGAAATTCCTAAGAGCATTTAAGAAGATTGAGCTCGGAGTCCTCAGGGCAGAGGGCAGCCGGCCAGCGGCCTGGAGCCTCACCACTGGGGTCAGGTGTGAGTTCAGTTCCTCTGCGCCTCACTGCTCAGCCTCTCGGGGGACAAGTGACACTATCAGGAGCCTCAGATGAGATCCCTTTGTTGTTGCTAAACCAGTGGCTTCTGGGCCAAGGCTTTGGGATCTGGGTTCTAGACACACTCCCGCAGGGACTCCGATGTGGGTGGCCCCAGGCCCACTTCTGGGACCCACTGTCTGGCGCTGGACACTGTCCTCTCCTCTCGCCCCTCCCTGCCAGGCCCCAGGTGCGGTTCTTCCCTTCCCCCCTTCTCCCCTCCCGAGCAAGAGCCACAGCTGCCCTCAGAGGCCTTGCTGCCACATCGCAGCTAGTCTGGCTAACTCCCCACCACTGCAGGCCCTCCGCAGCTGCCTCAGCCGTTCAGTGGGCCATACTGGGGCCAGGGGACTCAAGAGGACTTGGTTTTGCAGCACACGGGAGGTCGGCAAACCAGATCAGCCTCGAGCTCGGAAGCAAAAGGAAACGTGTGTTGTTCCACTCAGAACAGTTGCTAAGTGACTTACGTCTCGCGTTTTAAAAAATAAATAATACTTACTGTGGGCTTGCTTTTATTATAAAACAGCACAAAAAGAGAGATAAACCAGATGAAGAAAACAAAATTCCTCTGTGAGCCCACCCCGCACCGCTAGGAGAGCATTGTTAATATTTTGGTGTATTTCCTTCTCATCTGTTCCTCACGGATCCGCGTGCATATAATTACTAAAGTTGAATTACACTATTTCAAAATACACTTTTAATAAACTACAAACCCTTTCTTTGCTATTAAGTAATTGCCTACATCATTCCAGTGGCTGCCTGGTATTCCGTTGCATGGATAAGTCCTAATTTAACCATTTCTGTGTTGTTCGATGTTTAGAATACCTTCGTTTTTCCACTATTATAAATAATGCTGGAATAAATAGCCCTAAAGTTCAATCTTTACAACATCCTTGATTACTTATTTCCTTAGAATAGATTCCTAAGAGGGAAACCGAGGCATCAGAAGGTCACAGGTGCTTCTGAATTAGGAGAACGGTGTGAGGGGGTCAGAGCCTCCAGCAGGGCCCTGAGGCCGGAGGGCCTCCTTACGGCTCCTTGGCCATCATGTCAGTGGCTTAACTGTTCACCTTCTCTGCTTATTCCCGTCTGTAGAATGGGAATGGTGGGAAGATCCAGAATGTCCGGCCCTTTCCCTGGTTTTGCACACAGTGTGGCGTTGCTTTGCTGAGAAGCTCACAGCAGCCGAGCTGCAAGGCAAGGACTAGAACCCGGGGCGGGGCAGCGCTCCCAGTCCAGTGCTCCTCACACTCTGTCAGATGTGCTCCCACACGCCCCACCTGTGGCGTCCTGGCCCCGCCGTGTGGGCAGGCACTGGCCGTTGGTGACCGCCGCCCTGGCAGCTTCATCCCCTCGGCGGCCACCCGAAGCGCAGCTGGAATCACTGAGCCCTCGTCACAGTCCTGACGCTGTCCTGCGGGCTTTACAACGATGACCTAATTGTCATTCCTCCCGACAGCCTCTGAGGAGGGCCGTTTTGGCCTTGTTTTATGATTGAAGAGGGAAATTGAGGCTCAGAGGAGGTGCTTCAACTAAGGCATGTCGCCAGAAATGCAGAGTCAGGTTCACATCCAGGCCCATCTGACTCCAGAGCCAGACGCAGCGCCCCCTCCCACTCTGCGCCCGCAGCTCCTGGGTCCATCCGCCGCCGGCAGGAGCGGGGCTTGGGGCAGGGATGGCACCCACCCAGCCCCATTCATGATGCCCCATGCTTCTTCCTTTACAGGTGTTCCGAACAAAGGCCATCAAGCTGGGAGAGAAGCTTCTGCCGGCCTTCAACACTCCCACGGGAATCCCAAAAGGTGTTGTGAACTTCAAAAGGTAGGACATCTTCTGGTTTCCCTCGTGTGGCTTTGGCTGCATCTGTGAAGAAACTGAAGCATGGAGAGGACAGGACCCGCCTTGGGAATCCCAGCGAGTCCGTGGCACAGTGGAGACTAGCCTTAGCCGAGGGCTCTCCAGGGCTGATCTTCCCTAGGTGGGGAGGGAGCAGCTGGTCTGTAATCGTTCCCTAATACTGCCTTGACTCACAGCCCTACAGGTGTGCCCAGCTAGGGTCAGGCGCCAGTAGGCACATCACACCCTCCTGCCATGAGGTACCCCAAACTGCTAGGGGGTCTCGAGACCCTGAGCAGAGGGACCCCTGGGCTGGGCCTCAGGAACCCATTGTCAGAACCCAGAGGGGCTTCTGGGGGTATCAAGCCCACGGAGGCTTGGACTCCAAGGAATAAGGGCCTAGTCAGGTCACATAAGCCAGTAACTGACCATTCCTGGACACAAACCCGGGACTTCCAACTCCATTTTTAATAATACTTATTGGAATTTCCCCCTCTTTAAAAATAGTAAGTTCTCATTGCAGAAAATGTGAATTATACCAAAAATGTTAGGTAAGACCAGAAAACTCCCATGTGGTTCCACTAATCAAAGAAACCACCGGTAATGCTTCTTTCTACTGGCTTGGTTTTAAAACATTGATTTTTATTGGCTGCTTCCATAATTTTCCTTCCTGATCTATTGCTTAATTCAGTGTGTGAACTAGAGACTTTCTGGGTAGTCACTAAGTCACAGAATGTCAACATGGAAGGGACCCTGGGTGGTGCAACGGGAGGAAGGTAGAGCCGGGGCTGCCGCTGGGTCCAGCTCCAACGCCTGGGGGTGGGGTGTGCTTACCTGCCCCCCTCGAAGCTGCCCTTCCCTCTCGTGGGGATAGGAGTGTGTTTATATCCACTCGTTTTCCAGATGTGGCGACTGAGACCCAGAGAGGGGAAGGGATGGGCTCAGAGTCAAGAGAACTAATGGCCAGCCAGCTGGATGATGGATGAATCTTTTTTTTTTTTTTTGATGGATGAATCTTCATGAGCACGAGTCTTGCTCCTGAGGATCCGCAGTGCCCCATTGTCTTGCCTTCCTCACTCTGTTCTTCCACCAGTCGACTTACTCTCACAGCTTCCCTGGCCCGCAGAGGCCAGCTCGCCTGCCACCTGTGCCTTTAGGGCCAGAAGCGTTTTAGCCACTCCTGGCCTCCAGGCACTTTATCTCCCTCCTTATGGCCCCGTCACATGCCTCTTCATGTTCACCGCTGGCCTGGGAGCTTCTTGAGGGCAGGATCCGTGTCCGATTCTTTGCTCATTCCTTCCACAAATATCCATGCTCGGGACTGTGTGCGGGATGAGAGATGAACCATGACGCTGTGCCGACCGTTTCTGAGCAATTCCATGTGCCCGGCATTGTGCTAAGGCTTTCTGTACGTGGCCTCCCCAAGTATTCCTCACAGCCACCCTTTATTCAAACAGAGTCTTGGAGAGGTGAAGTAACTTGCCCAAAGTCTTCCAGCTACTAGGTAATTGGGGATACGATTTAAGCCCGTTTGGTTAGAGATGGAAAGCTCTGCTCTCGAGGCCTGCCTGGCCCTCCCTCAGGCGGGAGCCCTGCTGTCCCTGTGCCGCAGGAGCAGCCCCCCGGGAGACGTTGTAGAAGGCACCAGGGGCTCCCTGGGGCCGTGCTTGAGGCTCTCCCACAACCCCGAGTCTGGGAAGAAGGCTGTAATATTTCCATCTCACCACACTTCCCCCTTCCATGTCCTGAGGTGATGTCTTACCTCAGGAGCTGCCTGGGAGGGAGGCAGGGGCCGTGGGCTCTGGTCGAGTGCCTCCGTGCCTCGGCTTCCTCTCTGTCCTGGGGAGGTCCCACTCTTCGGGTCAGCCTGCCCGGGGCCTCGCAGAGGAGAGGGGACTCGCCTGCTCAGCCCCTTCGCTTACTGTCTCTGGTCCAAGAGCATTCCTGGGGTGTGACCTCACATAAACCTCACCAGAGGCCACAAAGGGGCCCCCAGGGCCAATCGAATCCCGTTCTCGGTGACAGGGTTGACTTCTCAGAGCCAGACGTTTGGATCACTGCTCAGATTCCTTTCCCACAAACACTGATCCTGGAGAAACACAGCCCTGCTATCATGGAGCCGAGACACAAACACAGTATCTTTGTGTCTCTCTTGTCCCAGGGCTAGCTCCTTGGGCCTCACTGCCTGGAGTCTGGGATAGGACCTTAGCTCAGTCATCCTTCCCTCGTCTGTGCATGGCACTGCCCTGGCTGTCTGCCTTACCCCTGTCCCTCAGAGCCCGGACCGGATGCGACACAGATCCTGACATTTCTGATTAAGAAAACGCATTTGTTTTTAGGCCATTTGCATGCTGCCGGTGCTGTAGACATATGTATATGCATATTTCCTGGCAACACCTCCCTTTCATTTTCTGGGTAAGAGAGTCTGTTGCTAAAAAAATGCCTCCCTGTTCCAGCCGGGGGAATGTCAGGATGTTTACGGCCCGTGGGGTGCTGAGTTTGCTCTTTGGAGAGGGCCTGCTGGTGGGGGCTGGGCCGCACACTGCCGCCCCCGGCCTGGGCAGGGCTTGCTCTGGGCAGCTCCAGGAGGAAGGGCCAGACCGGATCCCCGCAGGAGGGGTAGATACTAAGCCCTGCCCCAAAGTGAGCCTGACTGCTCTTCCTGTTTGGGAGGCAGAGGCGTGGACCCTTGTGATCTGTGACCTCCAAGGACCACTGAATCCGAGAGAGTGGCAGTGGCCAGTCCAAGGACTAAGCTCTCACACACGCAGACACACTTGGCTGCCACCCACCCAAATCATGCACGCTGAGATACACAAGTTCACCTGTGTCACATGCCCTGCATCCACACACACACACACACATGCATTTACATAGACACGCTCCCCCCGCACAGATATCTGCATCTTAGTAATTGCTGATGTTTATCGAGCATTCACTATGCGCCACACACGATGTGAACACATGATTTGGGTTCTCTCTCTTCAACCTCACGATGACCACAAGGACCCCATTTCACCCGTGAAGACACTGAGGCGGAGAGAGGTGAGGTAACTTACCCAAGGTCACACAGCAGTAGAGTGAAGTTAGAATTAGCAACGAGGTCTGTCTGGCTCTAAAGTTCACAGTTATACCATACACCCGCGTGCACATAGAGACACACAGATACACATGGGGGCTTCCGCCGCGCTGGGGAGGGGCACTGGGGAGCAGACAGGGAGGGAGGCAGAGGGCAGAGCTTCGTTAGCCCATTGCCTTGCAGGACTGATGAAAAGCCCTCCTGGTCTCTGGATGCCGCCCAGAACAGGTGCATTCAGGGCACAGAATACCTAGGGTTTGGATTTGGATTCAGCTCTACCAGTTCTGTCCCTTGCTGTGTGACCTTGAAGAAGTGTCTCCCCCTCTCGGAGTCTGAGCATCCTCACCTATGAAATAAGAATCGTGGTATCTACCTCCGAAGCTGGATGTGAAGATAAAATAAGACACTACAGCTGTCTAGTACCCCTCAGGAACTCAATAACTCAAATAATAATTTTAATATGCTATAAACACATGATTTATATGTGTATAATTACATAAGGTGAAAAATGACTAATTACATGCCTAATTTATACATCACAATAGCTCTATGAGGTGTGGGTCCGGTCATTTTACAGATGAGGAAACTGAGGGTGAGAGAGATCAGCCGACCTGCCCGACGTCGCCCGGCCGGGCGCTGCGGGAGCCGGCGCTTGAAGACAAACAGGAGAGGGAAGGTGCCCGCCCACTGCCCACCTCTGCCCAGCCCTGGTCTGCCTGTCTGCCAGGCTGGCTCCACTGCAGGGTGCCCACTCGGGAGGGAGGGGAGAGGAAGGAGAGGCTCATGTGGGGGAAAACAAGAACAAAAGACAGCTGGGTGACCGGTGGCTATTTGGACCTTGAATTTCTCTGTGAGGGCAGGAAGCATCCATTATTCAGGAAACCCTCTGTGGGTGCCCACATCTCCCACTGAGATAGCTGGAGAGAGAAGTCTCACTTGGCCTGAGGGGAAGAGGGACAGAGAGGGGACACCTTCCCCTTCCCTCTGGGTGGATGTGGGGCCATCTGGGTGGGAGACCATTAGGGGATGCACAGAGCCCAGGCTGAATCTGGCCTCTGCCACCTACCAGCTCCGACCTTCCAATAGCTTACTTTCCCTCTCTGAGCCTCAGTTTCCTCTTCCTCTTCGTATATTGGGATGAATGATGTGTTACCTTGTACTCTTTAAATGAAGTCAAGAAGCAAACAGCTTGACCCAGTGCCTGGTATCTGTAGTGGCTCGATACACAGAAGCTGTTTTATTTATTATCCATGAGCCAAGTCTCCCCTCTCCTTGCAGCCCATCCCTCTCTACCTGCCCCCAAGTCAGGGAAATACCCAAAGAGGTGGAGACAGGAAGAAGGGGCCAGTGGTCATCTCTGTTTATTGAGACCACCTGCTCCATCAGATCCTAAAACTTGAGTCCTCCACCTGTTTCTGGAAGTTGAGACTGATGAGTTTGATTTCAGAAACTATATTCAGGCCAGATAATGGAGTTTGGAGAGGAGAGGAGCAGCCTCAGGAGAGCCCCAGCCCACCCCAGGAAAAGGGTGACCCTCAGATGGCACACTGTGACCTCCCAGACCCACCTTGTCCCACACCTGCCTCCCTATGTCCTGTCCTGGGGAGGCAGACAGAGGCCAGTTCCTAGAGAGGCAGAGCTATCCCAGGAAGGAAGTGGAAGGGCTTCCCAGAGGCCAGGGCAGAGCCAGCCCCCTCAGCCTACTCCTTGGAGCCCCTACAGATAGGGGCACTCACTCCACCCTGCTCTGTCCCGACCCTGGCCCCCTGGTTGTCCTAAATGTCCCACAGGAAAGATCATCGTGGTACATATGAGGAAACTGAGGCACGGGGAGAGGAAGCAGAAAGGACACCCTCCTTCTGCGCTTTTCTTTTCCTTCTTCACCCCACAAAAGCCTTAGGAACAGAGACCAGAACCAATTACCCTCGCCCAGTTTGATGATGCAGGAACTCAGGTGCATAAGGTGGGGATGGTTTGCCCAAGGCCTGTCAGCTAACAAACTTGATCCTGGCCCCCTGGCTACAGAGATTTAAGTGAAAACACCTGGAAAGGCAGCGTCCTTGCTTATTATATAATTTAAGGAGAGGCAGGCCACACAGTGGTTAGGACCAGCTCTGGTGTCAGGCCAGCCTTGAGTCCCAGCTGCTCCACGCGCTGTGTGATGGCAAGTGGGTGACATCACCGTCCCAAGCCTTGTTTTCCTCATCTGTGAGGGGGGCAAGTGGGAGGATTGCCCGAGACCCCACCTCTGTGCTCTTCCTCCTTGGAAGCACCCCGGACCTGGAAGCGTGACTGAGACAGCCTTCTCCAGCTAGGATCTGTCTGAGGTGTTCATGAGACACACGTGATTAACAGCTGAGGAGACCTTTACTCCGAGAGCCCCTGTTCGTTTCATTCCTAACCTCGGGCCTCCCAGGGAGCCTGCAGCTCAGGGCACGTAGTCGTACCGGAGTCACCTGCCCGTCAGGCGTGGGGTCCACAAAATTCCAGGAGGGGCCACTGTGTGTCCTTGGGCAGCACTGACAGTGTGAGGAGAGGGAAAGAGCCAGGTAGGGTCCCCGCTTTTCATCTGCCCCGTTCCGACCCCAGCCACAGCAGTGTACCCCGCGCACACGGCGCCACAGACTGTGAGGCAGCTGGATTGCCTTCAGCCAGAGGACAGAAAGCATTCTGCAGTGTCCTTGTGGTCCCTGACAGCATTGTCCATATCACCTGTAAATTTAGCGTAACTTGGATGCCAGGTCTTGGCCACCAAGGCAGCTCTGCTACCGTCCTTGAGCCCACGCATCACCCAGGGGCTGCTTGACGATAGAAACAAAGAATAGTGCAGGTGACCTCTGTGTCCTCCTCAGCAACTGGGACTATTACTGGTACTGACTCCCAGAGAGGAGCAACGGAGACCAGGTGGCCGGAGCGCCCCGGACGGGACCTGGCAGGAGTGGGTGCTCCCCCACTGTGCAATCTCCCCCACCACCGGTTACTCTCAGCAGGGGAGCCAGCCCCACAGCAGCAGGGTGACAGGGGGTGCTTCCGTCTCTTTACAGCGGCTCCAACAGGAGCTGGGGCTGGGCCATGGCCGGGAGCAGCAGCATCCTGGCTGAGTTTGGATCCCTGCACCTGGAGTTCTTACACCTCACGGAGCTCTCTGGCAACCAGGTCTTCGCAGAAAAGGTAAGTGTTCTCCCTGCTCCCCTCACCCCCGAATGGCTCCTCCCTCTTCTCCACACTCAGCAGGTCCCCCATCAGCGGGGCGGCGGGGGGGGGCGTCCGGCCGCCGCTAATACAGCTGTGGGGGCCCTGCACGTGCCCGAAGCCAGGTGTCAGGAGGGTGCGCACAGGGGGTAATCAGGGTTCTGCTGGGGCAGGGAGGAGAGGAGGCTGCCAGCGAGGTTTTCACCGGGGCAACCACGTGGTTGCTCGGTGGCAACCACGCATACGTGGAATCTGGAGAGAGCGCAGGAACTGAAATCCAGGCACCCGTGGGCGTTGGCAGGAATTGGCCACCAGGTGCAAAAGTCCCCTTTCCAGAGCCAGTTAACTTTTTCATGTGAGATCTGCTGCCTTTTCCTTCCAGATGCCCGCCCAGCTCATGTTGTCAGCAGGCTGGCAAAGCGATTTCACTCTATGACGGCAGAGGCACACGTCTCTTCATCATTGTTACCGGGCTGGCTCAGGCCGCAGGGGGTGCTGAGAGCTAGCATCCCGGCTGTCGGCCAGCCTTATGGCTGCCCACTCCTGCCCCTCTGTGGAGCCCTCCAGAAGAAACAGTTCCTCCACATCAATAGCCCTCAGCAGTCCCACTGTCTGGAAGTGCCTCTAGGCGGGTCTAACACTAAACGCAAGGAAGACAAGGGTACACACACCACCCTCAGAGGGCACTCCGGCTGCATCAGCAATTGTCCCTTCCTGAGTCCTGCCTGGGAAGATGAAGTCCCGCCTCCAAGAATATCCCTTTGGAGGCGCCTCCACTCCCCAAACCTTCCTTTCTCTGAAGGTTAGACTCTTGGGGTGCCAAGGGAGCTGGGAGATCATAGATTCACACCTCCACCCAGCCTCAAAGCATCACCCGGCGTGCCTGTAGGAAACACATCTCTGGGCATCACCCAGGTCCAGGAATCTGCATTTTTAATAAGCACCCAAGTGCTTTTCGATGCCAGATTTAAGAGCACTGCTTATTCAGTGTGGGAATCCCCCCGAGCATTCTTGGGAAGCTCAAGAAGAGCTTTTCAGCCCCTTGATCACTTCCTCTGGGTTGGGGCTCACTACCCCCCTTAAATAGCCTGTCATATCAGACCTACCTTCAGAGCCTGTACTGGGAGGACTCTGCCACCCTGTGACACCCCACCTTGCAAGTTCATGAAAGAAATTCCATCCCACTTCCTGATGGGTCTTATTTACTGATCCGTTTTCCTACCTCCCAAGCCCTCCTTCCCCCAGCCTCCCTGTTTCCTTTGCTCTTGAGTCAAACTCCTCTGGGAAGGTTGTGACTGGCTCACACTGGAGTGGAACAGGGAGCTCACTCTAGTCCCTGGCTAGTCTGGACAAACTAGCTACCACTGCCCGAGCACCTACTATGTGTTGGGTACCTTATAGTGTCCCTAACCACCCCTCCAAACCCTGAGGTGGGTCTTATTGTTATCCGCATTTTACAGAGGAGGACACTGAGACTCAGAGGTTCAGTCTCTTGTCCTGGGTCATTCAGCTGGTAAGTGATAAAGCTAGAATTCAAGCCCAGGACTTTCTGACTCCGAAGCCCACATTCTTTCAAGACCAGATTAGTTATAGCAGGCTTCAGGCTTTTCCTCTCGAGTCCATCTGCCTGTCTCTCTGTCTCCCTCTACATTTATATTCTCCGGCTATTTTCAGCCCCCAATCATGCCTCCCACAGAGGCGATTATTGGCAGTCAACAAATTGGCCCAAATTCTAGAAGCACCCGTACCCTCCAGGGGAGCTAATTTAGCCTGCTTCACTGCTCACCACCAGGGCAGTCGAGAATAACTCAGGTACAAGTGCATTCCTGTCCCCTATAATGGACTCCGTTAACATAAATGGATATGAAGTCTCATGTGGTAAAGCAAAGTGCCGTCCCCTAGAAAGAAAGGTCTGACAGCGAAAAGGCTCCTCTCCCTGCTCCTTGTAGATAAATCTACACGCATGATATAGTACCGTCCCCGAGGGCCTTGCTGTTCTGGTGGATTCTGTGCTGGAAGCATTTCATGTACTGCCAGAGAGCAGACCCCAAGGGATAAAGCCTTCCTGCTTCTCAGCCTTTGTAGCCCCAAAGGTTGCAAATCTAGCCTCTTCTTGCTCCATGCGGGCAGCCTCTGCGACATGTGACTGCACAGCCTGCCCTGACCCCTGTTGGACACAAGGGCTACTCCATGTGGCCAGCCGAGCCCTGCCTCATGTCCTGGCTCTGCCACTTATGAACTGAGTGGCCACGGGCACACCACTGAAACTCTGGGGTTCGGGTTTGTCACCTGTTACACAGAGATAATACCAGATGGGTTGTTCTAAGGGTCCGAGGTGGTGTATGTAATGGGTCTGGCCCAGAAGGACTGAGAAACGTTAACAGCTGTTGTTGTTGGGGCAGGGGTGTTAGGAGCCCAGGCCTTTCCTCTGGAATGGCTCCTATGGTGTCCAATACAATAACATGTTTCTAGGCTGAATGTTATGAAATTGCCAGTATTGACCATTTCTGACCTATTAAAGAGGCAGTGTTACCTAGCACTTACAAATGAGCTACTATCGCTTATAGGAACCGCCCCCTCTCCTGAAAAGGCCCATGCCCCAAAGCAAGGCACTGTGAGGAAGGGGTGAAGTGAGGGGAGCATGGGGACCTTGCAGGGCCCCAAGGCGGTGGCCAGGCTCCCCCGTGGCCGTGTCCTGCAGTGCCCCACCCGTGGGCCCAGGGCGTGGCCGTCTCGCCACCTCCAGGCTGGGGCCTGCTGTTGTCAGCTCTCCCTCCTGCCTCATCTGAGTGGTGTCCTCTTCGGATCCAAACAAGCTGCCTCCTTCGGCGGCGGCGGCTAAGAGCTGCTGGCTCCTTCCAGAAAGTGAAGGTGCGTCTGGTGTCCGTTTCTTGGCAGGTCAGGAACATCCGAAAAGTCCTCAGGAAGATCAACAAGCCCTTCGGCCTCTACCCCAACTTCCTCAGCCCAGTGAGCGGGAACTGGATGCAACGTGAGTACGGAGATGCCGCCGCCCTGCCTTCTACTGATTGCAGTCAGCATCCCATGCGAGGCGTGCGGGCCAAGTGAGGAGGGTCACATTTCTCAGAGCCACAGGCCAGTGAGGCCTTTGCTCTGTGCTCCCAGATGCCACCCGCCCTGCCAGGCGTCCTGGGGTCTTCACTGTCCTTGTGTTGGGTGGGCTGTTGTGACAGGTATGGTGGCTGCCCCCTCACGAGGCCTGCCCTCTGCATCCTCTGCACACTCCCTGTCTCCAGGCTTCCGTCTCTTAAGGCACGACTGAAGCGTCTCTGGCCATCCCCCAGACTTGTGGGGGTGTTCCACATAGAACCGTCTGTCCACTCCAGAAATGGCCCCGGGAAAGACCACGCATCCTCTCCCAGGCCTTGGATCGGGTGCCCCACCTCCAACTTTAATCCTTTTTTTTTTTTCTTAATTTTTAAGCAGAGCCTAACTATATAGCAATACAAAAATCATGAATTTACCGCTATATCCTGCACCTGCCAGAATGGGTCCTGGGAGTTCTGTCCTCTGTTCAGAGGCTTGTGCCTCAACCAGACGGGTGTGGGTCACTGGGGAGCCTCAGTTACAGTCCCCAGCTCCACCCACCGAAACAGAATGGGGTCTGGGGGACTTGCAGGCTGGAGGGTGTGGAAAAGTCTCCCAGGACCCTGGGATTGCACCCCTGTCGAGAGGCCCTGATCATGAGGTCACAGCGGGAATTGGTGGCCGCAGGTTCCTTGGACCATGCTTCTAGGGGCTCCCTCCCCCACCTCCACCACTTCTGCTGAAACAAGGAGTCCTCTCCCTTTCCTCTGCCTCCAGCCCTAGTTGTTACGACACCAGCACAGGGCTCAGAAGCAAAGTACTTGAGACTAATTACTGCCTGACTGCGGGAAATGTGCTTTATCTCCTCAAGCCTTGGTTTTGTCTCCTGCAAATGGGAGAAGACCCTGAGATAGCTTTTTTGTGCACCACGGAGGGATGTGGGAGTAATGGTCAGAAGCTGCAGGAAACGGATTTCAGTTCATCTTCCAAAGATGACATGTGTTGTGCCAAAAGGTAACGAGTGCCCATCAGCAAAAGTAGGCAAGCAGGGCCTGGGGGCCGGGCCGGCCTGCAGGGACACGGGGGAGAAGCTGCAGTAGCCTATTCTTGCCACCCTGGGCCTCTCTGACTGCAGATCCAGGAGCCCCAGAAAATGTGACCCAGGAATTTTCCCCGGTGATGACCTCATCCCCAAGTGGCCTCCTGCAGGAACCACTTACAGAAATACAAAGTATTTTTAACCAAAGCACACTGCCAAATCCAAAAGTGCAGGGAGAAAATGGTTTGAATTACAGATTATGGCCATGGGAAGACAGTTCAATAACCGTTACTGCTTTTAATTGCAAGGCCTGACTGGGTAAAGAGATAAACTACCCGGCTGCTGGCCTTAGCCGCTCCGCCCTTGGCGAATTCCAAGGAGCCGCCCCACCCCCCACCCCCCTGAGAAGCAGAACTTTCTTTTCAGGTTGTGCCAGGGGTCGCGGGCCTGGGTAAGGTCAGTCACATAAGGAAAATTGTTTCATATTAATAAAATATGAATCTGAGGCCTGCTAAAGAACAGAGGGAAAGCTAGAAAGTCCTGCTCATCTGGGCACCTGCCTGCCTCCCCTCCCCAACCCCCCCACCCCCGATCTGACACCCCAGCCCATCTCAGGTTCTCTGTGGTTTCACTGGGATTTTTTGGTAATTGTGTGTTTTTCCAACAGACGATAGCATTCCCAACTTACATACGCTAAGTATGTTCACCTTCTTTCCTCTTTTTGAATCCTTGGTTAGCCCATTTGCAACCACAGAGACTGCAGCTTGGGGAGGGAGAGTTAGGGCTGTGTCCTGCTGTTAGGCCCCTGTTCTTGCTGCTCCCCACTCCTGCTGGAAGCTGGGCTGCTGGGTAACAGAGGAGGCCAAGACCCTCCTGCCGCTAGGACTAACAGCCGGGACAAGTCCACCAGGTTTCTGCTGGTACCTAGCACAGACGAGACCCATCCTCATAGAGCCACTTAGAGCTCAGAGGGCGGCCTGCCTGTCAGCCCTGCCTGTGGCCCCCGGAGTGGCTTGTCTGCCTGGTCCGCTGCCTGAATCCCACACTTTCCTCAGTGGGAGGGTGTGGCAAGTCCACCTTCTCCCCGGTGGGGACAGCAGTGTGAGCTGCCCTTCAGCCCCAGCCTGGCAGCCTCCCCCGGGTTCATGGTACTTTCCTACCGGCCACTTCCCCAGCCTGTACGGTGACCACCTCTTGCTGCCAAGTGTGATGACAGTATTGACGTGGTCAGGAAGCAGCAGGGCCCATCTCTGCTCAGGCTCATGGACACCAATTCACGCTCCTCTTTTGCATTTTATTGACCAAAAGCTGGAGGCCCGGAGAGGAGAATGGCTTGCCCTGAGCTAATGGCAGATCTGTGTCTTCCAGTTCCCGCTCTGGGCTCTCTGTGTACCACACGCTGCAGGGGGTAGACACCGCAGACACACACTAGCCAGGAAGCAGTGGGACCTCCAAAGGAGAATCATTCACATAGCCCCAAGAGGGTGTCCTGTCGCAAACACCCATGGAGCTCCCAGGGGCCTGGCTCCCCTCTCCTGCACACCTGCCAGGCCGCACCCTCAACCACGTCATGCACACGCTGCGGTCACATGATGAAGTCCCAACTCTTTGGCTTGGCATTCGAGGCCCTTCCCAGCACAGCTCAAACCTCCCTTTCTTCCATTCAGGACTTACTGGGTGTCCACAGTGGGCATAAAATGTGAATCCTACACGGCCCCTCCTCCATAGAGAGCCCACAGCCTGGTGGGGGGTGGACCCATAAGCAGATACCGATACCACTGCTTTGGGAGCCACCAAGGGCAAGGCTCAGAAGGATCTGCTGCCACGGAGATCTGCTGCCACGGAGATCTGCTGCCACAGAGCGCTTCCCACGTGAGGCGCCGTGGGGCCAGATTTATGTGCACCTTGTCTCACTCGCTCCTCATGTAGGGAAGGATGGCGAGCAGACTTATGAGAACACTGAGAAAGGCCTTTCTGCGGAGGGGATGCCTGAGCTGGGGTGTAGCAGTGAGGAAGTGCTAGCCATGCAAGGCGGGGGAAGGGGTGTTCCTGGCGGAGGGGTCACCACAGGTGAGAGATAAGTGGGAAGGCAGGGGGCTAGGAGTGTCTGGGGTGGCAGAGAAAACGGTGACAGGCGGCAGGCCCGGAAGAGTGTGGAGATGGCAGATGGCCCCTGACTGCGTGCCTGTGTGCTTCTTCTGTGGGCTGTGAGCTGTGGGACGTCCCCTCAGCGGAGGCTGGCCTGGTTTGACTTGCAGCCCTCCCCAACCCCTGCTCGGCATAGACCTCCTGCTCCAGCTTCAGACACGCCATCAGCACGCTGGGCCTGGCATGCCCCTGCGCCTCCCTTTGTGCTATGCCCTCCATGTAGCAATGGGGTGTCGGGGGGTATGCTGTGCTGGTGAGTGTCTCTTCGCACAGCAGCGTGCAGCCTGCACAGACCGCCCTCCCACGCCTCACCAAGGCTCAGGATTTCTCTAGTCTGTTCCAATTTTTGCAAGTCCTGAGCCCTTGCTGGGCCACGATTTATTTACGGGGCTGGAGGGAGCTGTGAGGGCTGGTTTACTCTGGGTATTCCTCTCAGCCCACTTTCCTGGTCCTCACCTGTCTTTGCCCTCTGACTTTTGGTCCCGCTCTCTTCACACTTGGCCTTTCTATCTCTAGGCGTAGAAGAAGGATGTTTTCATGCTCTGGTTGGCTGTAGAGTGGCAGAAAGCGAGGGCTCTGCCACTTTGGTGGCCTTGGAGGAGCTATGTAGGCCCCCCCACAGTTTTCCCATCAGGGAAAGGGATTGGCAGTGCCTACGTTGCAGGTTGTTATAGATAGTACAGTAAAGCTCCTGGCCCACAGTAGACCCTGGAGAAATGGCAGCTTTTGATGGATTCTCTGTTTCTTTCTCTCTTCCCCCCACCTACCTTCCCTCCCTTCTCTTCCTATCCCAGAGGAGCTGGAACTACCCTCCGCACCGACCCTTTCCCGCCTTAATCTGCCCCCATTCTCCTTCCTCTCTGTCTCTCTGCTTAAGTGCATCTTAACAGGGAACTGAAGTTGCTCCTTGTTACATTTTTAAATGCCTTTGTGTTTCCCTGTTGCTAATTTGTACAGCATGTGAGTGAAGTGTTTTCCATGTCTTCCTTCTCTGGTTAAGTGATCCTGGTTGACCCGTCTTTCTCCAGGGATAGGGCTGGGTGGAGTCACTCGGTGGTCCTCCATGGGCGACTCTAGGCAGATGCCACCAGGGCAAAGACGGGCTCCTCAGACCCAATTCTTCCCAACCCCCTGCTCCTTGGAAACTCCATTTATCCTAGTCTGCTCAACAGAAGCTCAGTTTGTCCAAGTGGCTCTGTATTCTGACTAAATTAAACCTCCTGTTCCTCCTTTCCGGGGCTTTTATGAACCTGCCCAGCATTAATTACCATGTTTGTCACCGGGTAATAAAAATCTCTGAACTGCCTGCCACCAGATTATCTTTTTAAAGAAATGCAACTCATTTACAGTTAATAACCAGAGGCCCTGCCATCCTTGGCCTGCTGAAGCGACATGATTTATACCCCCGGGTGAGTCGTGCACTCGTGCGCCAGATGATCATGCTCAGGATGGCCCTGGGTTCCCCGAGTCTCAGCCTGGGGCTTCCTTTCTGCCCCTGTTCCTGCAGGGCTCAGAGGCTGCTGGTTAAAGGCTTGCTCCCCACCCGCACGTGGCCCTGGGGGGTGCCACTGAGGCCGGCAGAGGAGACTCGCTGCCCGGGTGCATTCCCTCGGGGAGGCCTGCCCGGCAGCCTCAGCAATTGGAGATAATGCTTCTGTCCTCTCTCTCCTCACAGACCACGTCTCGGTTGGAGGCCTCGGGGACAGTTTTTATGAATATTTGATCAAATCCTGGTTGATGTCAGCCAAGACAGATGTGGAGGCTAAAGATATGTACTACGAAGCCTTGGAGGTAAGACAAGTGCCTACTTCTTCGTGGGCAGTTGGTCATTCACCACCAGCCCTGGCACTGACCCCTGAGTGCCAGGGTCTTCCTTGCCCACCCCTCCTCCATGGCGAGCTGGCTGGAAGAACAAGAAGGTCTCCCTCCCAGCCCCGTGCTTTGCACACACAGCTTGTGACTGTACTCAAATGCCTTGAAATTAGGGCCATGTTGGCATCCTCGTTTTACAGATGCAAAACCCATGCTCATGGAGGTAAAGCCATTTGTCCGAGGTCTCACAGGAAGCGGCAGTCAGTCTGATTTGGAAACCATGGTGTCTGGGCTTCCGTGAATGTGTCAGAGCCCAGAACACAGCCAGACACTGGCCTGGGAGCCCCCAGATGAGGCTGCCAAAGCAAGACCCTCAGCCATCTCCCTGCAGAGCCAAGGGTGATGTAATTAGCATGTGCAGGCAGGGAGGGGCCTCCCTCAGTGGAGCATCCAGTTCTGCTCCTTCTCTTTATGTGGATGGAAACCAAGGCCCAGAGAGGGGAAGGCGCTTGCTCAAAGCCACACAGTACAGAGCTGGCGGAGCTGGAGCTAGAGCCAGATCTAAGCCCGTCCCAGTGTTCCCCCCACTGTCCCTCACCACTGCTGGTCTGTCTACAGGGTGTGAACTCTCAACAAGGGATGATAGGCTGAGATGAATCTCTCCAAAGAGAGGGAGACTTCAGGATGGAAGAGGAAGGTGGTTAGCTTGAGCTATTTGCAAGGGGTTTATGGAATCCCATCAGCCCATCACTAGACACTTCTGAGCCCAACTAAGGAAAAGGCACTGGGTAGGCTCCAGGCCTTAGTTTCCCTATAAAGTAAGTTGAGCAGCTTGGGTCTACTCTGCCACCACCTTGGTCTGAGGTCTTGTGTCCCCTAAAGTAGAATTCTTGCTCCTGTCCCCTTCGGAGTCGGTTCTCCCTCCACACAGCAGCCAGAAGCACTGGAAATTCGTGTCCCTACCTCATTGGCTCCCCATTTGCACTTGGAAGAAGCTAGACTCCTCCCCTTTGCCCACTTGATTTAGACCTACCGATCACCTTGAACTCTTACCCCTTTACACCCAGCTCTGGTCTCCAGCCTTCCTCAGACACACCAGACTCATTCCCACCTCGGGGCTTTTGTACTTGCTGTCCTTTCTACCTGGAATAGCATTCAAATGGCTGGGCCCCATTTATTGGTCAGGTCAAATGCCACTGGAAACTGGCCTTTCACAGCCTCTCTCTGTCATATGCACCAGACTTATTCTCTTCTTCGCCTTCATCAGCATCAAAAATTACCCCATGCATATGTTTGTTTACTTGTTCATTGTCTGTCTTCCCCAAGTAGAATGTGAGCTATCTGGGAGCAAGGATCTTGTCTAGTCATTCACCCTGTCTGCCTCACTCCTAAAACAGTGCCCAATACATAGGAGGTGTACAATAGCTATTTTGTGAATGAATGAACACACAATTGCTGAAGGGGTAGGTGGATGGATGGGTGGATGGATGGAAGGATGGATGGATGGATGGATGGATGGGTGGATGGATGGAAGGATGGATGGATGGATGGATGGGTGGATGGATGGAAGGATGGATGGATGGATGGATGGATGGAAGGATGGATGGATGGATGGATGGATGGATGGATGGATGGATGGATGGAAGGATGGATGGATGGATGCATGCATAGGTGGATGGATGAGTGGTTGGTAGATCAGTGGGTGGAAGGATTGATGGGTGGATGGATGGGTTGGTGGAAGGATGGATGGATGGATAGATGGATGGGCAGATGGATGGATGGGTGGGTGGGTGGATGTGTGGGTGGAAGGATGGACTGGTAGGTAGGTAGAGGATAGATGGGTGGGTAGGTGGATAGGCAGGTGGAAAGATGGATAGGTGGGTAGATATGGTGGATGGATGAGTATAAACCATTGGATAGATGGATGAATGAGCTCTAACTACCCTCTGATTGCATGAATCTGGCCAGGAATGGTAGTGCTTAAAGGAAGCCTATTAAAACAGGTCTCCACAGGGCGCCTGGGTGGCTCAGTCGGTTAGGCGACTGCCTTCGGCTCAGGTCATGATCCTGGAGTCCCAGGATCGAGTCCCGCATCGGGCTCCCTGCTCAGCGGGGGGTCTGCTTCTCCCTCGGACCCTCTTCCCTCTCATGCTCTCTGTCTCTCATTCTCTCTCTCAAATAAATAAATAAAATATTTGAAACAGGTCTCCACAGTCATGGACCTTTTAACCTGTGGGCTTGGTGATGAGTTTTCCCTGCCCAGGTCCCCAGCACCAAGACCTTGGTCATGAAGCCGCTACTGGGACTCCAGTCCCATCTCTGTCTGCGTCTCAGCCCCAGCTTCAGCTTCGGCTGAGCTCAGACCACAGCCTCTGTCTGCTGTCAGGGGATCAGTGTTCAGCCTACACAGAGTGTGCTGCCTGCAAAGGCCTTTCTGCACTTTCCTCCATTCCTTGCGGGGTAAACATGAAGTTAGCGAGCAGCCTGGTTCCCTGCCCTCAGGGCACACTGTGGTTGAGGCTTCAAGGGAAGAAACAGCCGTGAATTATTTAAGCAAACTGGGAGCTTTATGGAAAGCACTTGATTGAACAGGAGAGAACTTGGCTTTGCTCCCCTCATTTGATATCCCCAGTGAATAGCCTGGAGTATCTCTGATCCTGGGTAAAGACTGGGCCTCTGGCAAGTTTGGGGCTTTGAAGAATATTCTGGTAATTCTCAACCTTGTCCACACATTAAAAATCACTGGGGGAGCTGTAAAATCCCATTGCTCAGGCTGCACCCTGAAAAGGCTACATCAGAACCTCTGGGCCAGGGCCCAGGAAACAGTCTGGAAAGCTGCCCTGGGCGGGGTGGGCGTGGTGAGACTACTGTCCAGCTGGGGTGAGTGGGGATGATTTAGACAGGCCCACGGGGCACACCCCTGAAGGTCATGGGGAGGGGCAAAAAGAAGAACAGGGAGAGTATCTGTCACGGTGGCATCCTCCAGGCAGGTGCCCTGACTGCCTTGTCTTATTTAGCCCCATCTTACAGATGAGAAACTGAGGTCACATGGCAGCCAGTGTCAAAGTCAGGGTGCAAACACAGATCCGACTGATTTCAGATCCAGTGCTCCTGCCAACCACAAAGGAGCCTGGCTTGCCCGAGATCCCTCTGGGGAGTGGGGCGGGTGGGGTCCCCTCCAAGAGGCAAAGGAAGCCAGAGTCTTTGAATAACCTCATGGCCATCCCAGGAATTATTCCCATGTTACAGATGAGGAGAGGGAGACTTCAGAAAAGGGAAATAATTTGCCCAGAATTGCCCAAGGCTCACATTGCAGAGCTGGGATCCAAGCCCCGGTCTGTGTATTCCCCCTCAGCTCCGCTCGTCTCCTGGATGATTTAAGCCTCACTGGTCAGTTCCCAGCCTGTGCTGTCTTGTGTTTTGCTTAGAGTCTGAGAAAGCCTCGTTTTTAATCTTCACACCTATCTGCTTGTCTCAGCTGTGTCCTCACAGAGAGACTGGTCTGTCATTTCCTCTTTACCACAATTGCTTAGCTTGGGGTTAACCCCAGATGGAAATAACCCATGGGAGCCAGTCTTGAAGGGGCAGTTTCTGGGCTATCATACGAGGCTTCATGGGATCTCCCCAGGATGTCTGTGTTCTACCCCAAGTGTCCACAACGGGTGACTGAACCGGATTTCTGCACCCTGGACTAGCCTACCACCCCTCCTCCCCACCTGCGTGGACCCGGCTCTGCCCAGGAGCGGGGGCCCAACGCAGAGCAGACCCAGCCCAGGAGTGGGTGGCTCCCCAGGCCCCTCGGTGGTCCGCCCCCCATGGCACAGGTGCTCTGGCACATCACGCCATCAGAGCCTCCCCACCTGCTGCTCAGTGAGGGTCCTGCAGCCAGCCCACCAGCCAGGACCTTGCAGGAGGGGGAAAAGGAACAGAGAGATCCAAGAGCGAATGTTGTTTGAGCACCTTCTGTATGCCTGCCCCTGGCTGGAGAGTGGGGGTGGTGGCTTCTGCTGTCAGGCGGCACTCAGAGTCCTGGGAGAGAGACAGGGTTGCCACAGAACACACAGAGAAGGATGCACAAGGTGGGGACAGCACCATGTAGAAAGGCAACGGGGGACGAGTACCAGGGCAGCAGTGGCCTGGCAGGGGGGCGCCGTCTCCAGCACCACGCATGGTGGAGCGTTGCGCAAAGGCAAGCTGGGGCGGCGCAGTTGAGGCGGAGCGTGTTTCTTTCAAAATGCTGATCACAAATCATAATTCCCGCGTGTGTTTGATTTTGTTGGAAATCTCTATTAACAGGTGAGCTCCCCGAGGCAGGGTCCAGGCTGTGTGTCTTCGGGGGCTTCATCCCCTGCCCCGAGCCCCTGCTAATGGAAAACTCGAATACTTGTTGGAAGGAGAGGGGTGTGACTGGAAAGAGCCTGGGGCAGGGGACAGACTGGAGAGGAACTGTGGTGGCCAACGTGCACTGAGGATGCTGTGCCAGCAAGTATGCTGAGCTCTGCACACACAGCCCGTTGATCCTCACAACCCTGTGAGGTGGTTTATGCTCGTATCCCCATTTCATGCATTTACTTGGCAATCAAGGCACAGAGAGCCCATAGGACCCGCCCAATGTCACACAGCTTGGAACTGACAGAGGTGGGATTTGAACCCGAGGAATCTGCTCCTGGGAGCCATGTCTCTGGCGTCACGTTAAACTGGTCTGTTATTTACAGAGAGCAGAGGTCCAGGACCAGCCCTGGAGAATAGATTGGAGGGACAAGAACGCAGGAAGAGGTCTGGCCAGGGCCCCAGAGGCCCGGCCCTGGACCAGGAGCCACAGGCACTGCCATCACCTCTGTCTCCACGGCTCCTGGGGACTAACGGCAGGGAGTGGGGGGGGGGCACCGTGGCCTGACACCTGTATCCCCCAACTTCCTTGGAGTCTTTACCAGCAGTATCATCTCCCATGGAAGCTGGGGACTGGGGGGGGGGGCTCTCAAAGCCCCTTGCTACCAGCAGGAGCCGCCGTCAGGTAGTAGATGCCCAGTTTGGGCATGTGGGGGTCCCTGTCAAAATCCCAGCGTGGCTGGGTGACCTGGGATGAGCCACTCGGCCCTTTTGTCTGTAGAGGGCGTGGGCCTGGCCTGTCATGGGCATTAAATGAGAAGGTGTATGATAAGGGCTTGTAGAGAGCAGCTCTTAACTTTCTGTGGGTCTTTTTTGAGGACCAGATAAAATATATGGACCCTCTTCCCATGGAAATGCACATACAGGAGAGTGTCACATACAATTTGAGTGGCCTCTGGACCCCGTGGAGCCCGTCCACAGGCCAGCTGGGCTCCAGGTTAAGATTCCCTAACAGAGGACATCGTGGAGGATGGATAAAATTTAATAAAGATTTTTAAAAAATCTTTATACATAGGGCGCCTGGGTGGCTCAGTTGGTTAAGCGACTGCCTTCGGCTCAGGTCGTGATCCTGGAGTCCCGGGATCGAGTCCTGCATCGGGATCCCTGCTCGGCAGGGAGTCTGCTTCTCCCTCTGACCCTCTTCCCTCTCGTGCTCTCTCTCTCTCTCTCTCTCTATCTCATTTTCTCTCTCAAATAAATAAATAAAATCTTAAAAAAAAATCTTTATACATAAAAGACACAAAAGCTTAAATAAGAGGGGCGCCTGGCTGGCTCAGGTTGGGAGAGAATGTATCTCTCATTGATCTCAGGGTTGTGAGTTTGAGCCTCACACTGGGTGCAGAAATTACTTAAAAATAAAATATTTTTTTAAAAAGTCTAAATAAGGGACTCACTCCGGGGAGCTGCCTTGTGTCCAAGCCCACAGCAGGCACCTGGCTTCAGCCAGGTGAGTGGCAGAACCTCCTACCGGCCCCATCAGGGACCACCACCAGCCGCCAGTGGAGGCCAAGGACCTCCTTTGCCCGGGATGGAGGGCTCAGCAGAGCTGTGTTCGCTGCTGTCTGCAAAATGTTCATTTTTCCCTCCTCTCCCCCTCCCTTCTCTGTTCCCCCTCCTACGCCCCTCCCCCCTGCCCAACTCCCACCTTGCTCCCAGGCAATAGAGACCTACTTGCTGAATGTCTCTCCTGGGGGGCTGACCTACATTGCCGAGTGGCGAGGGGGGATTCTGGACCACAAGATGGGGCACCTGGCCTGTTTCTCTGGGGGCATGATCGCCCTCGGCGCTGAGGATGCCAAGGAAGAAAAGAGGGCCCACTACCGAGAGCTCGCAGCCCAGATCACCAAGACGTGCCACGAATCATACGCCCGCTCAGGTAACCCTGCAAGGGGAAGGGGCAGCAGGAGAGACTGAGGCTAGACACCAGAAAGGACTAGAAAAACCAGCAGAGCGGCAGTGAGGGAAGGGAACACACGGTCTTAGGGCAGTCTCGCCTTGGAAGTTATGTAGAATTTGTATGAGGGATGTGCCGTCTATGCACTGAGACTGTACCCTGAGTTAAAAGGAAAATAGGGGTGATGTATCAAGCACCTGTCTTAAGTGTTCAACACTTGACCTTGCATCATTGCCGAACCTCACAACACAGATAAACTGAGGCCCAGAGAGGACTTGGCCAAGGTCCCTTGTGAGGGACACAGAGTAGAGGGTCCTCCAGGCTTCCTGAGCCTAGCAGATCCCTTCTCCCTGAGCCCTTACCCCTGAGTGTACCTCTGCCTTTCCTCCCCAGCACCCCTCCATTTATGGGATCTTACCACCTCCGGCACCACCCCGTTTACCACCCTCTTTGAACCACGACCACCAGAAAGCTTGAGAGCTTCTTGACCATCCCCACCTAACACTCGTTGCAGAATTATCAAATGCTAGAGTCAGGAGTCACATTAGAGAACATGAGCCTTGTCTTACACGTGGGGAAACTAAGTCAGCCCAGAGCGGGGAAGTGACTTCACCAAAGTCACACTGCACGTGAGTAGCTAAGCCAGGGTTAGAACCCAGGTCTTCTGATGCCCAGCTCCTTGTGTGCTGCCTCTCTAAACATTGCCCCTCAGAAAGAACCCTCCCCCCAGGGCCCTGAGAGGTGCCCACTGCTCTGAGTGTAATCCCAGTCTTGGAGGAAAGGACCTAAAACTTGCCACTGACCTGGCTCAAGTGCCAGTCGGCCACTCACCAGCGGGATGGCCTCTTGTTTTCTCATCTGTTCAATGGGAACAATAACACGGGTCTCCTGGGATGAGATAGAGGGTCCCATAGAAAGCACATTGCCGGCCGTCTTCATTTGCCAGGATCTGATAAGTCTCGCAGACAGGAGCCCCAGCACAGAAGGCATGTGTTAGCTTGAAAGGTGTCTGTGACCCCTCCAGCCGAGTCCAGGTCTCCCGGAGCTGTTTTCATGAAGCCGGCAATTCACAAGGGGTCCTTACAACGGGTCTGCGATTCCCCTCAAAGAGGCAGAGCCGTAAACAGGAAATCCCAGGAATAATAAAAAGCTCACTATTTGGGACAATCAACCCAGACCATAAAAGACATCCGCTTAATAGAGCATGCGGTTCCAGCCAGCCCGCCTGTCCAAGGACAGCCACGGCGGCCACTCATGCCCCCACCCCGTCAGCAGCTTGGGCAAAACGGCTGTTTGCTAGCAGCCAGGAGGAGCTGCAAGCATCTGAGAACTAGAGGGGGCCAGGGTCTGGCTAATGGCACCCAGCACAGCCCTTCTGTGAAGCCGTCCATGGAAGAGTAGAATGTCCTGCAAAGCTCCATTCGTCTCTTGAGGACAAACCACCCAGGGCCTCTCAGGGTCCTGACCTGATGGGAAGAAGGAAGGCACACTTAGGACCAGAGCCCGGCACTTGACTGACCCAGACAGGGTGTGCAGGCGCTGAAGGGTGGAGGAGCTGACCCCTCTGGCCTAAACTCGGGGCCTAGAGTCTCAGACCCAGGAGGGAAAGAGAGAGAGCACAGTCCAGGGAAAGGGCATCAGACAGATCCAGGGTCACATCCCGGCTCAGTCACAGCTTTGCTGTGTTACCTTGGACAAATTACTTAGCCTCTCTGATCCTCAGCTTCCATATGCCTGAGAGAGGGACACTAACATCTACCTTAGCAAAAAAACAGGAAACAAAAACAAACAACATTTGTTAAGGATCGAAATAATGTATCTAAAGCACCCAGCACAGCGCTTGAAATCAGAAGTGGTGGCTGTAGCAGTGGTTATAATTATGGTCCTCCAGCAAATAGGAATGGCACCAAATTGTCCAAAAACAAACCAACCAAACTGACAAAAACAAAACTCGGGGCGCCTGGGTGGCTCAGTCGTTAAGCGTCTGCCTTTGGCTCAGGTCATGATCCCGGGGTCCTGGGATCGAGCCCCACGTCGTCCAGCAGGGAGCCTGCTTCTCCCTCTGCCCGTTCTCTCTTTCTCTATCTCTCTCGCTTCCCCCTCCCCTCTCTCTCACACGTACTCTCTCTCAAATAAATAATAACCTTTAAAACAAAAAAACCCCTCAGGCCTCATCAAGCCCTCTATCTAGCTGCCTCTGCCTGAGTATGTGCCTTCTGGCAGCTCTTCCCCCATCTCCACCTCAGCAGCGTCCCAGCCTGTCAGCTCTGGAAGGCTGGTTCTGGGAGGTGCGAAAAGCAGTGCCCTAAGAAAGGGGTCCGTGGAGAAGCATCACCGCATATCAGCATGTTAAAGGATCTGATAAGTCTCGCAGACAGGAGGCAATTTCATTTTATTTGACCCACTCTTCCCCAAGTGTCTTTAAACCTGAAATTCTTTCTTGGCTGGTTAACATCTTGCAGGGTTTATGTCTCAAAACACAGTTGGGGAACATCGCCCACACCTTTTTCTCCCCAGATTGCTGGATAGTTCATCTGGACTCTCAGATTCTAAAACTGCAAAATGCTCGAGGCCTCAAGGGTCTTGCTTTGGCCTGCCTAGGCCAAGAGGGAAGCTGGGCATTTGCCAGCCTCAGCAGCGCAGGCAGGGCCCAGCCTGTGCCAGTCACCCTGCCAGGGCTTCCAGGCCACGGAGCGCACTCCTGGGGCAGCTGGGTCCTGAAAAGCGGGGGGTGGGAGGTCTGACCCAGGCCCTCTGGTTGGTTCTCCCCACAGATACCAAACTGGGGCCCGAGGCCTTCTGGTTTAACTCCGGCAGAGAGGCTGTGGCCACACAGCTGAGCGAGAGCTACTACATCCTGCGGCCCGAGGTGGTGGAGAGCTACATGTACCTGTGGCGACAGACCCACGACCCCATCTACAGGGAGTGGGGCTGGGAGGTGGTGATGGTGAGTGCGCTGGGGCGGGGTGGTGACTGTGTGACAGGTGCCCTGAGAATTCAGTCAGGCTCCAGAGTGCCCTAGCTCGGGCATAGGGAGGAAGGTCACAGCAGGTTGACATCTGGCTAAGGTTCCAAATGCAAAGGGTCAAGGTGTGGTTGCAGAGCGAAAAGTCCCCGGCTGGCCCAAAGCAGGCCGGGAACTTATGAAGAGGGTTCTGGGCGCCCACAGCCTTTGGGGCCCAGGCTCCAGGGCCAGCAAACTTAGAGGGCTAAAGGCAGGGCATGAGCCAGAGGGGCCCAGAGCACATGCGGTCACTGCTTTCTGACCCCAAGCCGGAGAAGATGGCTTTAGATTTCTCCTCTCAAACAGAAAAAAATCTGCCAGGCCGGCGGATCACCTCCCTCCTCTGCCCAAAGCCAGCCCAGCCCTGGGTGGCCCCCACCTGTCTCTGGGCTCTGCTCCCCAGCCCCCGTGTCTCCTCCACCAGCCTGCTTATTCCCAACCACCCAGCAGGAAACCTCCTGGCCCTCTGTAGGGTAGGTGTCAAAGGCAGGTATGGAGAGTCCAGAAGGATGTCTCTTGAGGGATGCTAAGCCTTCTCTGTCCACCCCGCTTCCCAGCTTCCCCTAGGGCCCCCTGCTCTCAGAGCCATATACTGTCCTGGGGAAAAGAACCTCACCCACACTCACGCAGGGCACGAGCCTGCTCAGGTTCACATACATGGTTCATTGGCCAGAATCCCCCTGCTCCCCTGAAGCCCCTGGTTCTTGATCAGTGAAAGCCAAGAGTTTTGTGCTCCTGGGCCCAGCCCCCAGGCCCCTCAGTGTGTAAAAATGGCATTTATATACAAAAGGCAGACAGCACTTGGCCCTCCTACCTCCGGACGAGGGACCGTATCTCCACGGGGACTCCGTGAGGTGTGCTGAGTCTAGTCCCCAAATCCCAGCCCTCCACTGCCTTCCTCTGTCCACCACTGTGGGTGAGTCTGTCAGATCAGCCTTGTTCCCTGAAGGGCCAAAAGAACATCCCCTAAGTTCAGACCGGGAGAGGAGCTCGAGCCAGCAGCCTGCTGGGACTAAGTTCTCGGCCCCGGGGGGCAGGGCTGCTGCTGAGCCCTGAGACAAGAATTTGGCTTTTTGCTTCCACAAATGCCAGGTGGTCCGGGCCTGCCCGTTCATGACCTGGGCAGGCACAAGTCTTGGCGGGGGGAGGTCTCTTCTCCCTGGACCAAAGCTGCCCCCCTTTTCTTCAGGCCTTGGAGAAATACTGTCGAACGGAAGCTGGTTTCTCCGGGATCCAAGATGTGTACAGTAGCATCCCCAACCACGACAACAAGCAGCAGACTTTCTTTCTAGCGGAGACACTAAAGTGAGTTGGGGCTTGGCCGGCGTTCTTTCCAGAGGGACCGGGACTTTCTTAGGGCTGGAGGGAGGAGGAGGGCGAGGTGTGGGGTCAGCAGTCCCTCCCTTCACCGACAGTCAGGTTCTGCCATCACAGGGGGCCCACGAGGGGTGGGGGGCCTGGGGTCCCCAGGGTTACATCCCCAGGGTGGCCCTCGGGCCAGGCCGGTTTCTCCCCTCAGGGAAAGACCAGACAGCACCCCACCTCCAAGTACTAGCGGTGTGCTAAGTTAGCTTCTGTAACCTGTCTCCTCGGGTCCCTTGGTTCTCTGAAACCATGTCTTCTTCTCTAAAATGGCAGGAATGATGGTGACGGTGGTCACTCCTGTTGACCCTCCCTCGACAGTTTTGCTACTGCACTATTCCCTCGCTTTCTTGGGGTAGAAGTCAGCCACCCTGTTTCCTTGCTGTTCCCCAAAGCCGTCCCCCTGTGCTTAACCCTTTATGGTGGGTTGGAATGGTCTGTTCCTTTGGCTTGGGAAGCTGGAGTTCTGGAGTCACAACTCCCTGTTCATTTTAGTGCCCTAACATCTGCTTGAGTCTAGAGTCTCCCGGGGGGCACATCTGGGAGCAGCCCAAGAGTTTGGACGGGTGCAGTACTCAGGACACTGTGAAAAGAAAGAAGAATCTAGGCCGTAAGGGGGCCTGGCCGGCCTCTCCCACAGGTGGTAAAAGTACCTGAGTGAAGCCCGATAGGTAGGAAGCAACAGAGGGAGGGCAGGGGCAGAGCCAGCCTTACACCAGGTCTGACTGCCCCAGATCTCAGTGCTGTCCTCAGCATCCACAGCTCCTTCCCTGGGACCAGTGCTGCAAATAGACTTGGGATCTCAAAACTCCCTGCACCCTTAGCCACAGGCCCATGTTGCAGAGGCCTCCGAGATGGGTTGCCAACGGTCCCCTGTTCCCCAGAGCCCTGACCGGCTGTGTCGTGCTTCCCTCCCCGCCCCGGGGCACAGGTATCTCTATCTTCTGTTCTCTGAAGATGACATGCTCTCCCTGGAAGACTGGGTGTTCAACACAGAGGCCCACCCCCTCCCGGTGAACCACTCGGACAGCTCCAGCAGGGCTGGGGGCCGACTCTGACCCGTCTCCCTGCTGCGCCCGGGGCCCCGGAGGGCTGCCTTGCCTTTTCAGGATTTGGGACTGTTCTCAAAGGGATTGGGAACGTAGGCCCCATTCCAGGCAGACCCAGGGCAGATGTGTCGGACAAGCAACTTCTTTTCCTCTGTGAGGAGACAGGACTTGGAGACGCAGCGATGTCACCCCAGGCCCAGACTTTCCTTTCTGTGGAGAATTTCTATGAAACCCACTCACTTGCCATTCCAGGGCCCAGTGAATGGAGGTTTGCATATTGTCTCCATGCCTTTGATTCACTTCCTCTCATTTGGGGAGTTTTCTGTTCGTTTGTTTTGCTTGATTTTGCCTTTTCTCTGCAGTTGTGTTTTATCACAAATTATAAATATAGTTTCAAAATCATGTGCTTTCGAAAGCAGCATCATCTTGATAAACTAAACCTTAAAATGTTCGCACACAGAAACCTTGACCCCATTTTCTATATTTTAAATGCTTTTTGCCCAACATTTACTATACGTTCAACTACGTGGCATTTACCTTATAATTTGAGGAGGCGTTCCCTTTTGATTTGGGCCTAAGTGTTAACGAATCACTAGTGCCATTTTCATTATTGTAATGGAAAAATCTGTAAACTTACAATAAAAGAGTTTATTGAATAAGAAATACGATTGGGTTCATTGCACATCAGTGACTCCTGGGAAAACCGTGGCAATGTTCTCACCCGAAAAAATAATCAACCGGCAGTTGATTTAACATAAGTTTAGACTCCAGCTTCTATTGCCTTCCCTTAAATTGGTCTTACAAATTCAGGAAGGGTGAAGCCAATTCTTTAAATGGAGTCGCATATTTATACTTCAGTCAAGGCTTGGAAGAGGCCCAGAGAGGGCCAGCAGCTTGTCTGTGGTCATGCAGCCAGGTAGAGGCAGAGGTGAGCCCAGTCCCTACAGTTTGCTCACAACCCCGTGTCCATCTGTTCGCATTCACCAGATGCGTGCTGAGTGCCCGTAGGAGACCAGACACTGGGCTAGATGCCAGGGACACAGCTGGGAGTGAAACAGTCACAAGCCCTGCCCTCAGGGAGCGTACAGCCAAGTGGGGGAAAGATAGACCATAAAGTAAACGGACAGATAAGTAACATGAGTGCAAGCCGTATGAAGTGCCACAGAGGAGATTTGGGGCCGAGGCACTAGTGGCCAGGGCTGATCTGAGGGCCTCAGGGAGAGCCTCTCTGAGCAGAAAACTTTCAAGCTGAGGCCTGGAAGATAAGGAGCAGCAGGAGGAGTACCCCACAAACCCACTCTCCACCCTCCCCCCCCCCCGGCCGCCCACCCAGGAGCCCAAAACCTTGAGGCCATTATGCAGAGCAAGGTGTTCAGGCAGCTCGTCCCACAGCTGACCACACAGGGTAATCCTGAGCCCTCCTGCATGCTCAGCCACTTCAGTTTGGCTGTTATGAACTTGAGTAGTCCCTGAGGTATTGGAGCCTAGGCCAAGTGACCTGGCTTTACGTCCTCGCAATGGGACCCCAGATAGGTCACCTCACCCCTCAGGCTACTCTTCCATCAAACAGAGGGAGGAACCTCCACCTCCCAAGGTTGCTGTGAGAATAAGCAGGGTCCCCTGGCGCCCTGACTGCAGGAAGTGCTTCCTCCTTATTCTGGAGACATAGATGCTTTCAGCATCTTCTTGAGCAGTGGTCAGAGCTACGGGTGAGCCGTTCCCACGGCAGGAACCCTGGTGTTTGGTGAGTAAGTCGCTGCTTGAACCCAGGAAATCACTTCACTCTTGACAGGCTCTGGAGACCTGCCTGTGCCCATCTAAAAAACAAAACAAAACAGAAAACCCACTGTGCAAGCATTGTGGAAAGGGTGAGGAATATCTTTATGCTAAGCAGAAAGAAAAGCCATCCACCATTCTACCCTCCAGAATGAATACTGTTATATTTTCTTCTAGATCTTTTTCTATGAATGTACAGAATATATTTTGCAAACATGGTGTCATACTATGCATCCTGTTTTACTGTAATCTGCTTTTGTTCTTAACTATATACTGTGAGGATTTTTCCATGCCAACAAATACACATTTATCACTGTACCTGATTGTGGAGTGTTCCATTGTGTGCTGTATCATGCTTTCTGGATCTAATCCCCTATTTCTGGGCATTTGGGTTTGTGACAGTTTGGGCTCTCAGTTACAAATAATAGAAAACAACTCTGTCTAACTTAAGCAAAAAAAAAAAAAAAGGAAGGAAGGAAAAAGAAAAAGAGAACATATTGAAATGCCTTGCGGTGACTCATGGGATCTCAGGAGAGTGACCAGACCAAAATGACTAGGAAGAGGGTGTGGCCGGGAATCCAAGCTGCAAGAACCAAGGGGGCAGTCTCCCCAGTACCCCCCCCCCCGAAGACACGTCACTTCAAACCTTTCCAGAGCCCAAGGTCTCGCTTTAAAGAAGCGGGCTTCCCATTGGCCTAGCCTGGGTCACGTGCTCCCAGCAGGTGGAGGGTGGGGCATCTTGACTGACAGACCCACCGGGACCCCGTGCAATGCCCCACAGGCTGTTCCCCGGAGAAGAAATCGACGTTTGCTACCAAAATAATGAAGCCACGCGCCGGTGAAGGCAAAACAGCAGGACCGTTCGCAGGTTCTGCTTTGATTCTTTTCAGTATTATAAAGAGAGTTATGAAAGCATCCTTGACCATCCCTCTCTCCCCTCTCGTTCAGCTCCTCAGAGTCAACTCCTGGAATGTCTCTCCATTGCAAAGCCACTTGGCAGTTCCCCAAGGCCCCGGGCTCCCCCGCTGGGCCCATGGTGCTGTCCCCCCCTCTCCTGCCACCAGCCTTCTGTCTTCTGCATTATCGCTGGGGGCAAGTTGTAAAAATGAACATTTCAAAATTCATCCTCCAGGAGGGCCCTTGCAGGTGGAGAAATACCATCCTTTTGGCAAGTTAACTCATTCCAGGGATAAAGATAAGTAAGACCCAAGGTAGGCTGAGAGGAGAGAGAAATTAAGGGATGAGTCATCCTCAGGGAAGGAGGAGCCACAGAATCCCGGTTGTGGAACCAGTCCCGGCAACAGACTCTCCTATCCCCCCGCCAAGGGTCAGCATGCTGCCAGTCTCTTTTGAAGTCTCCTCGGATGGAACCACTTTTTGCACCTGTTTTCTTCATGGAGGGGCGTGATGCTGGTTCCTGCCCAGAAAGCTTTATTAGCACCTGGCTGCAGGCACTGAGGCCTGCGGAGCACCACACCCCTGAGAAGCAGGACAGAGTCCTTCTCCAGATGCTTCCTTTTAAATGACTGCGTTTGTTTAGATGCTTTGTACATCACATTGTGTCCGGGGCAATTTGCAAAGTTCGAAAACCAAATGCACTGGAAAGAAAAGCAGAAACAGAAAATCTGATTTAAAGGCAGCATCCTTGAGACCCACGATGTGAATCTCAGTTCTGCCTCCTTTGCTTTGGGGAGGGGACCTCTTCGAGGTTTGCGAAGGTGCTGGAGATGGGGAAGGGCCAGCTCGTCCCAGCTACCCCGCTGGGGCCCTGTCCTTGGAAATATGCTCGTTGATTATGTGGCACAGAGATGCTCAGCCCTCTGTGACAAAAGCTTAATCACACGCTAATGGGGGTGCTAATGCTATTTTTTTATATCCAAAAATATCTGTTTGGTTCCCTATATTTGGAACAATATTTTGATCTTGCTCCTCCTGTCTCTTAAGACAGAGCTTTTCAAACTTGAACGTGCACCTGAATCACCTGGGGATCTTGTTAAAATGCAGATTCATATTCAGTGGGTCAGGCACAGAGCCTGAGCTACTTTGGTTCTAACAAGCTCCCAGGAGATGCTGATGCTGCCGGGCCTCAGACCACACTGAATAGCAAGGCCTCAGCTAATGCCCACTCCTTTGGTTTCTGCTCTTTATTTGCATCCATGGAGGGGCGCCCGGGTGGCGCAGTCGGTTAAGCTTCCAACTCTTGGTTTCAGCTCAGTTCCTGATCTCAGGGTGGTGAGATCGAGCCCTGTGTCAGGCTCACGCTCAGCAGGGAGTCTCTCCCTCTCCCTCTGCCCCTCCTGCTCGTGCTCTCTCTCTCTCTCTCAAATAAATCTTAAAAAAAAAATTATTTGCATCCATGGAGTCATAACGTTCCCTGAGTGGAGGGGCTCAGGTGTTGGGATGGCATCTCGCTTTGGTGGCAGAGGAAGCTGTCACCTGCATCAGCGGCTGCCCGCCCCTCCAACACAGTGTGGACCAGACAGGAGCAGGCTTGCTGGTGGCTTAGCACAATGCTGTCCAGTAGAATTTCCGTGGTGATGGAAATACTCTATCTCTGTGCTGTCCAATAGGGTGGCCACAGGTGGATATTGAACACTTAAAATGTGGCAAGTGCAAGTGAGGATCTAAATTTAAAATTTTATTTCATTTTAATTAAATTTAAATAGCCGTATGTGGTCCCTGGGTGCCATTTTGGACAGTTCAGTCCTAGAACCTAGAAAGCCAGTCCTCTGCTCACTGACTCCCTGCCCCACTGGACCCTCCACCACCTGCATCATTACAAAACTAATCTTAGCACAAAATATATTGTTTGGGAAGGTGAGGGTTCCCTTGGACATACCTGGTTATTTTTATACTCATTCCAGCCTCTCTTTTCCACAACAGCCTCTGGTTTTTGTTTTGTTTTGTTCTCACCCACTGTGTATCTGTAAATCTGCGTGCATTAGGTCAAGTTGAAGATAAGAAAGGCAGAACTGGAGAGGGTGAGCACAGACTGACTGAAACCATGACCTGCCCTTTCCTGGGCTGTGTGACCTTGGGCAAGCCCCTCAATCTCTCTGAGCCTCTGCCTGTCGCTGTGGAAAGGGAGGGTGATTTCGAGGGTTAATTGAGCTCCCCAGTGTAGTAACTCAATACATATAGTGATGATTGTTACTGCTATTTTGTGAACGCTCTCTGTAAACTAGAAAACGCTGCTGTCAAAAATCCTTCTTTTTAAACAAGATGCTCTGAAACTTGGAGGAAACTACATCAACCAGGCCCAGGAGACAACCCAAAATCTCAAAGCAATAAATCTGAACATTTTCCGCTTTTCACTTTGAGCAAGCATTTTGCCGTTAGCCCTGAATCTATGAAATTGGGAAACTGGGGTAAAGATCCAAGGGCTTCCAGGGGCTGGCCTGGTTGGTGGGGAGCAGGTGGGGCTCCCCCCGACCCTCCACCCTCCCCACCCCCCCACCCTCCCACCCCCACTGCTCAGGCAGGGGTGGGGCTTAAGGAAGATGCTGGGAGCTTGCCCAGAAGCTATCAGAGGCCCTCTGCTTGCAGGGGCGGTGGGGGGCGGGGGGTAGTGGGAGAGGTCCCGTTCATCTTTCCTCTTCAGGACATACCTGGTGAATCCTTCCTACAACTCTGACAGGGAGGCATGGCAGGCAGAGATTTACAGAGCAGGAAACTGAGGCTTAGGTCAAACAGTTGTTCCCGGCCTCTGGGCAGATGCCCACAGTGGTCCTCCCACCACACCCTTCCTCTCCTCTCCTCACGTAAATGACCCCAAATCTAGGGTGGCCCTTATCCTGCTCATGACATTTGCTCATGACAGTTTAGTTTTTAAACCTGTTGTTCTGGCACATTAATTAACAACGCCCCCTTTGCTCTCAAAAGTGTCC